CGGGGGCGGGCCTGGCGGTCAGGGAGCGTGGCAGTCCGCTCAGACACTCAGAGATGCTCCTGGGGCCCCGGGCCCAGGCGGCGCCGCCCCGCTGCAGCTCGGAGTGCGCCAGAGCGAGCCCACTAGGGCTCTGAGCGGGCCGTCCCGTCCCGTTCCGCACCATCCCGTCGGTGACAATGCGTCTGCTAAACGCGTCCGTCCAATCGGCGTCGGGGTGGCACCTCCCCGTGGCCATGGCCAGGACGGCGGCGGCCTCGTCGTAAGTGCGACGGTCTTGGTGTCACCGCGCGCCTTTTGCTCTTCCCGGTTCGGTGATGGAGGGTGTGCTTGTTCCAGGGGAGGTGCAGGGTCGCTCGGGTCGAACTTCCCCCCGGAGCACATGGGCATGGTGCACGAGCACTGGAGGCAGTACGAGGCCCTCAGCATCTACTGGCACCTTGGGCTCGCCATGGTCTACACCTTCCTCATGTTCACCTCCCTCATCGGCAACGGGCTCGTCGGCTACGCGTTCCTCACGTCGGTATCTCCTGGGTCCTTGCAGAGGTAAAGAGACACCAAGGTTTTGTCATACGCCGCGCTTCTCTCGCTGCAGGTGCAGGGGCCTGCGCACGCCTTCCAACATCCTGATCTTCAACCAGGTCGGTATGGACTTGATGATGTTCGTCAACATCCCCTGGTTCGTCGTCAACTCGGTGGCGGGCCACTTTGTCGGCTGGGAGACGGGATGCGACGTCTACGGGTTCTTCGGCTCCGTGGGGGGCATGGGGTCGGCCATGAACAATGCCATCATCGCCTTCGACCGATACAGGTACGTCTCCTCTGCCTGCAGCCACTGTCCTCTTTTAATATTCCTCAAAACGAATGAGAGAAAGTGCGCCAAACCCTCCGAAAATTATTCCAGTTTGTGTACCTCACCTTATGTCCCCAGAACTATCGCGTTCCCGATAGACGGCCGTATGTCGGGCAAGCAGACGACGGCGCTCGCCATCTTCGCGTGGATCTGGGCGATGCCGTTCTCCATCTTCCCCTGGGTGCAAGTGCTGGGCGCCAAGTACGTGCCCGAGGGCTTCCTCACGTCGTGCTCCTTCGACTTCCTCACGGAGGGCGACGAGACCCGCTTCTTCATGGCCACCATCTTCACGTGGGCCTACGTCATCCCCGTCACGCTCATCAGCATCTTCTACTCCAAGCTGTACGGCAAGGTGCGCGAGCACTCCAACATGCTGGCCGCCCAGGCCAAGAAGATGAACATGAAGAGCCTGGCGAGCAACGCCGACGCCGACAAGGAGTCGGCCGAGATCAAAATCGCAAAGATTGCCTTCACCATCTTCTTCATGTTCATCGCCGGCTGGACGCCCTACGCCGTGGTGGCGTTCATAGGCGCCTTTGGGGACAGGTGAGTGCCGAGGGACCGTACCTTGCACACTAAATGAGAAAGAACAATGTTTGTGTCTCGGCTGGTCTATTCAGCAGGCGGGCGAGGGAACACCTGGAGCTTCGCTGGACACAAAATTGTTCTTTCCCATTAAGAGTGCACTACAGGACCTATCATGCATGACCCCTTGCTCTCTCGTAGGAGCATCCTGACGCCGCAGGTGACGATGTTCCCCGCCATCGCCGCCAAGGTCGTCTCGTGCATAGACCCCTGGATCTACGCGCTCAACCACCCGCGGTTCAGGTAAGTGCGACTGTACCGACGTGAACTGGATCGATCGCTGTGCGTGCCCGTCCATCTCACTAACCGTCCCGCGCGCCTCCAGGGCAGAGATCGAGAGGATAGTGCCGTGCCTCAAAGGGTCGCCCAAGAGGCCCAAGACGGACGCGATGAGCGACGGCAAGTCGGTCGCGACGGAGGCGACGGGCGACGCATCGTAGTGGCGCTGCGACACACGGAGTAGCGACTCCGCTGGTGCGGTCTCTGCGACTCGGGGTATCGCTCAACGCTGGAATGGTGCTGCTGGTGCTCCGGTCTGCTGGACAGATGGAGTTCGCCACGCCACGCTACAGGGTCCCGGCCGGATGCGAGCCGCTCGGACCGGGACTAACGACACGGCAAAGGACATGGCAACGATTTGGGGCTCAGCGGCCAACCGGCTGCAACGCAGGTGAACAGTCAGTGGCCTCTGATGCGATCCAGGTGGCAGCTCAGATCTGAATGACGTCAAAAACAATGTCAAACTTTACGTCATTTTTACAAAAAAATGTTTAGACTAGGTGCAAACTTGGCTGACGTTTTGACGTTTTTTCCCGACATCATTTTGACTTGTGCTCTGCCTTGGAATTGGAACTCCTGTTAAAGCCTGCTCACATTCACAGCGAAACACAAATTACACAAAGCAGCCCTCCCCGCAAGTAAGACACCTAGCTAAAGCCATAAGACAACCGCAGAAACTGTTTCGTTAACATTTCCTCACTAATCGTTTTCTCAATAAAAAAAAAACTTAGCTCTAAAATCAAAATTAAATGAATATTCCAAATTTCGAGACATTTTTGGTCTAAGGTTAGTCCGATGCTGCTGCTACAGAAAAATCCTTGACCCGAACCTTTCCCTTCTCCTTTCTCTCTACTATTAACTGCACTAGAAAGTGCACAAAAATGTAATAAAAAGAGTCTTTTTCTACGATTTAATGAAATAGAGCCAGGCTTTTTATTGTTTATCTTGAAACTTTCATAATTTTCAACAATTTGAAGTAAGTTGTACAGTTCATTTTTTGAAAACCATGACGTTAAGCTCTTTCTGGCATTTGCCTAACCGTGCTAGACTGGTAAGAAGAGATCTCAAACCTTCACCGTATTTCAAACACGTATTTTGGCCTCTAAATCAAAAATTCGGTGATGATAAGTAATTGTCTCGGGTTCTAAAGACTTCTATCATGCTGCTTTCTCGCACTTCCTCTCGTCTCAGCGGGTAATCAATCTAAATTCCCACAACATGAATAAAATAAAAGTAGAAAATGCTGTAAAGGATCCCTCTGGACGGGCGGAACAACCATGCATATGAATGCGAAACTGTGATACTATTCCCTTTCAAGCGTCCGGAGACATTTCTGCAACCGACGGTGCCCGTCTAAAATTCTACCTCTGTTCCCATGCAGCGTGTAAGTAGGAGAAAAATGTAACCCAGTTTATTTGAACCAGTTTTTTTTACAATCAGAATGATTATTACTTGATTTTACTATTAAGGAATAAGTAAGTAAATTAATTCAGTTGATCTACGATCGGCTCGCCCACAGAACGAAAAGAATCTGAAGTTACTCAAACATACTAGCACGAAATTTACTGTGAAAGAAAAAGAAAACATAAGCAGCCATACAGTAAAATCGTCTTTCTTGGCATGTAAACGTACGCACAGATTCCACGTGTACGTATCGTCTGTGGGCCCCTTTTCTTTCTCCTCTCTGGCGACGAATTTTGCTGAACAAAGGCGACGAGTATTGACTTTCCTCTCTTAGACAAATAGTTACACACGAAAAATAAATTTCAAATGAGCATGTCATCGCGCCTTGAGGTCGTTATTTGTCTCTCACCACACACTCTCCAACCGGCGCGCGAGGGCGCCTGGGCGGTAGGCAACCCGAGGCTTCCTGCGCACGGCTGTCGTCCGGCTGCCTATGCTCTGGGCGCGCGGGGGCGCCTGGGCGGTAGGCAACTCGAGCCTTCCAGCGCACGGCTGTCGTCCGG